GGGGCCTGCAAGGACCTGGGGGGCTGCAAGGACCTGTGGTACCTGGAGACAGGTGAGTCTGGGGGGCTGCAAGGACCTGGGGGGCTGCAAGGACCTGTGGTACCTGGAGACAGGTGAGTCTGGGGGGGCTGCAAGGACCTGGGGGGCTGCAAGGACCTGTGGTACCTGGAGACAGGTGAGTCTGAGGGGGCTGCAAGGACCTGTGGTACCTGGGGACAGGTGAGTCTGGGGGGGGTTGGGGGGATCCCAGCTGTGCTGCAATGCAGGTGTAATAGCTGTAGCCCAGGTGTAATAGAGTGTGATACGAGTGGTACAGGTGTACCCAGGTGTGATGTGAGTGGCACAGGTGTACCCAGGTGTACCCAGCTGTGATATGAGTGGCACAGGTGTACCCAGCTACACCCAGGTGTGATAGGAGCGGCACAGGTGTGCCCAGGTACACCCAGGTGCGATATGAGCAGCACAGGTGTACCCAGGTGTACCCAGCTGTGCTATGAGCAGCACAGGTGTACCCCGGGAGTACCCAGGTGCGATAGGAGCGGCCCAGGTGTACCCAGGTGCACCCAGGTGTGTTTGGAGCGGCCCAGGTGTACCCAGGTGTGATATGAGTGGCACAGGTGCACCCAGGTGTGTTAGGAGTGGCACAGGTGTACCCAGGTGTACCCTGGGAGTACCCAGGTGTGTTAGGAGCAGCACAGGTGTACCCAGGTGCACCCAGGTGTGTTAGGAGCGGCCCAGGTGTACCCCGGTGCACCCAGGTGTGTTTGGAGCGGCCCAGGTGCACCCAGGTGTGTTCGGAGTGGCCCAGGTGTACCCAGGTGCACCCAGGTGTGTTAGGAGCAGCCCAGGTGTACCCCGGTGCACCCAGGTGTGTTCGGAGCGGCCCAGGTGCACCCAGGTGTGTTCGGAGCGGCCCAGGTGCACCCAGGTGTGTTCGGAGCGGCCCAGGTGCACCCAGGTGTGTTCGGAGTGGCCCAGGTGTACCCAGGTGCACCCAGATGTGTTAGGACCAGCCCAGGTGCACCCAGGTGCACCCAGGTGTGTTCGGAGCGGCCCAGGTGTGCCGCCCCCGTGCCCACCCGTGCCCCCCTGTCCCCGCAGAGCGCCCGCCGGCGCCGGGCCGCGTGCAGCTGGTGCGCGCCAACACCACGTCGCTGGAGGTGAGCTGGGGCGCGGTGCCCACGGCCGACTCGTACCTGCTGCAGCTGCAGAAGTACGAGCTGCCCGCCGCGCCCGCGCCGCCGCCCG